GTAGGTAGGTAGGTAGGTAGGTAGGTAGGTAGGTAGGTAGGTAGGTAGGTAGTAGACAGACAGACAGACAGACAGACAGGCAGGCAGGCAGGCAGACACACATACAGACACACACAGATAGAAATATTTATGGGCAATACTTTTACTGTATTAGTGAACTGAAGTTGTAAACAATAATTTCAGGTTTAAGTTTCATAAATTTTTCCTTAGGAAGCTTTTCTTTTTTAAAAACAAATGGAAACAAAGAAAAAAGATATCGTTGTGGAGGCCTCTCTACAGGTTTATATTGTGAAATAATATGTTAGGGGGCTGTCAAACCTGCAATTTCACTCGACACTGCCAAGTGGGATGAGATATCAGTAAGGGCTTCCCAAAGCAATAGTAGTAATAAAATATTTATAAATCCTTCATTTTGGAAAGATCTAATGATAAAAACTGTTTTCATGCTATCAAGATTCACAGATTCTTTGACCAACAAAAACCAGAAGATATTATTTATTAGTTAATTTATTGATGTATAAACATGTAAGCAATATATCTCTTACCCTTGGCTTTCACAGGGCATCCTGCAACAAAGCTAACATTTTCACATTTGAGATTGAGATTGTGATTTATTAAATCTGATTATGTAGCCTCAAGGCTGGAGTTTACTGCTGGCTAACAGGGACAGCATATTTCCAATAAGAAAATAAATCCAAATCTGAAAAAAAAGCTTACTTTATTCCCAGGCTTACTCAGGTTGGTTTTAAGTAGCTTTAGGTCATTACCACATAGACTTATATACTTGAAAACAATGAGATCTCGCTGATGAAGTTCTTTTTATCATAACATTTGTGCTTTCCAATAAGTTCTCTAGTCAAAGGCATTTGGAAAGCTCTGGTTTCATGATCACTTATCATGAGACAAGCAATTTCAGCCTCCAATTTGCTCACATGTTCAAGGGGAGAAGAGAAATTGAAATGTCAACCAACTACTAGCAAAAACAAAGCTGTCTTAGGTTTTCAGCCCACAGCTAGCCATCAGGAAAATAGCAGAGAGTAGATAATTTTATCTGATGGTCACAGTTTCTAAAGGAACACAGTGACCTGTAAGTAAGCCAAGATAACACTGGGTTAGGGCTAGGACAACTTG